TAATTAGGAGGAGGAGGGAACATGTTTGCCTTTGTTAGTAGGGAGGAGGATGATTCCCATATACCTGGCGTTGGCCATCTGCCTGCACGTGTACCTCTTACCTTCAGAGAGATCCTTTGAGGAAGTGGTCTAAAGAAATCCAAAGAAATTTGCTTGGCTTTGTAACAGCTCTCCTCCTGGCAGACGGAGATTTACTCAGACTGTAGGATGTGACAGGCAATTCCTGGTGCCTCAGCTCTGTCTAACGCGTGAGCGATGGCTGGAAACACGAGTGATTGCATTAGAAGCTTTCCTACCTCCAGTGGGGAGAGTGTTTGAGCTTGAACTCTGCCCTCGTTGAGATCTTTGAAGTTTGGATCTTTAAAACCATTTTCCCCTCCAAAGACCTACCAGTGCAGTCGTCATCCTTCCCATCTGAGACAGGCTGGACCAGGCTCCCTTCAGAGGCCATTAAAGTTGCTCGTTTCATCCACCAGAGAGGTCGGCAGAGAAAGACATGAGTGAGTAATTATTCCCTGCCTCTCCTCCCAGCAGCTGAGTGAGCTGTGGAAGTTGAAACATCATTAAATCTCCGAGCAGAGTGGAGGGGCTGCAAGCCTCCGCAGCCGGGGAGCCTCGTGGCATGCAGGCGGAGGGGAGGGCTGAGTAACAGGTGGTATTTAGAAACTAATTAATATTTGTGAATAACAATGTGCTATTGGTAAGAAAACAAATCAGCCTGCGCGTGAATATTTATGATGATGACTTTTCCACAGCACCGCTTGGATCGCGCAGTCCTTTTCCAGCTACCGCATCTTTTCTTGTGTCACAACATCTCACACTGGGGTGAAAACCTTCTCCGCTGAGCTGAGCCGTGGGTCAGCAGCCAGCTGAGCAGCTCAGCAGACTGTACACTTAAAGAAGAATATTCTCACCGGTTCGGTATTAGTGGGCCACTAGGTCTCAAACATTTAAAGTATTCCTTGCTGGTGGAGTAAGCCATGCAATTTAGCTTGAGATTTCATCCCATTAAGAGCCAAGCCATGCACAGAGATAATGCTATGTTTGAAGAGAAAGCAGGTGTTAAAGGTTGTTCTCCCTCTTAATGTTGTGTGTGAGTGTTTTACAGTAGATCAAACTTGCCTAATGTAATCTTCATAATGCTTTCATTTAAAATGCTCCCTGTGGTTTGTATTTGTGGAACTGAAAGAGCAGAGTCTACTTTGTAGCTTGGTGGGGCGGGGTGTTCGATTGAACATATGTTCACACTGTCATTTGGGAAAGATAATAGGTTTTTAACCTCTGTCAGTGTTAGACTGAGGTATTTATGGAGCTCTATTAAAGCTGTGCCTAGGCAGCTAACCTTGTGATACAGGTTTTTCACAATTTGCCATTTTCTTGTGATAAGTTGCGGCTTTTCTTGGCCTCTCGCGGCGCCTCTTGCTGTGTCAGCCAGCATGGGAGCTTACCAAGAAACGAGGAATTCCGTGCTGTTATCAATGCTCCATGAAATGCTCCTGGCTACTTCAGTAAACACTGTCACGTAGATTGAAAAAGCGGCCTGGAAGAGCTTCAGAAAATATTGTTTTGGGCTTGACACAGGGGGCTAAACTGGCAAAACCGGTGGTGGTAGTGCTCGTGCGTTGGGTTGTGGAGGTGTCCGGGTGCTGCAGTGCCCTGGGCCTTGAGTTTAATTTGGGGGTGGAGGGGAGGGGGAGGAAATCTGTGTGTAATTTAGTCTGTGAAAATCCTATTGGTATGGTCTCTTTAGGCTTCGAAGAACCTAAATTAGCGTGATGGAGGCTGCAGTGTGCTTCACGGAGGGGGTTATCTCCAGTGAACGGCCATTACCGCTTTCGTCACTACTGATTAAATTTTTTTTTGTTAATGTTTAATCCTCAACAGCAAACGCCTGATGTTTATATGCTCTCCCCCGTCTAAGCAGAACATCTGTTTTATAATATGGCATCCAAAATGGAATCAGTGTAAAATTTTAAATATACATGTCAGACAAACAGATGTGAAGAAATTCAGAGCGTGAGCCATCACTTTACCATGCACAGGTCCTGTTGTGACAGGGGCTTCCAGGGGTCTTAAATTGCATATTAAACAGTGCTTGGTATGACTAAGAGTTTTTTCTAACCTTATCTGAAAATTCTTTGCTCTCTGTGTTAATACTTCCACTGTAGAAAAGATTGTTTGTTTATTTTTTTTGGTGGTGTTTTTCCCTTTGCTTTCCTAGCAGCAGAGCCCCAGTGGTGTAGCTGAGACTAGTTGACTTGAACTGCCTCTACTGTGCAAATGCCAAATCTACTTACGCTTTTGGGAGAAAGGAGATTTTAGTGAACTACGCGCATGGGTACCATGGACGACCACAACTATGTGTGTTAGAACTATAGGAAATTCCATCGGGTTTCTGAAGAATAAATTCAAAAGAGATGCATAAAAAGCGATGTAACAATTAGCAGCAGAGACTGATATGTTTAGGGGAGGATGTTAATTTAAATTGTTGGCTTACACAAGTTTCAAGCATTTTTATGCATTTAATAAGGGGTTGCCATTTAAGTAGCTTAAGTATCCTTCTCTGTATACAACGTGTCCTGGGATTTAGCAAACCACTTACTGCTGGATGGATTATTCCACTGAGATGTGATTGCCGTTCTTGCAAGACAGACTGGCTGATGAAGAGACCAAAAAGAGCCAGTACCGAAATGGTCATTGTGTTAGTCATGGGGGAGGGGAGAAAACAGATTTGTATACTCTATCTTCATATTCATTTAGTATGTTAATCTTGGTCATGGGCATCAAGTTGGATGAGTGCGTGCCTAAAAAGAGGGCTTTCCTCAAATCCCAGGGAGCCTGGCAGGGTAGGCCAGGGTGCTTCTCTAAAATTCTGACTTGAGGGATGGAGAATGGCGGTGTGGGACAGCTGAAGGTGGGGGTTGGAGACCTGATACGAGGGAGAGGTGCTGGGTTAGAAAATTGGGATCCTGTGTGAGAGGGGGAAAAGATCTTACAATGTGTTGTAGACAGGGCAGCTTGCAGGGACAAAAGAAAGAGGGACAACACGGTCAAAGTTACAAAAAGCATATTGAGGAGCATTGTGCATAGATATTGGCAGGGTAAGACCTCCGGGTTTAAAAGAGGAACACGCTCTGAATGACTGCAGTGAACGCTGCCAGGGTGTGCCAGAAGTAAATATAGTAGAGTAAGCACTGCTACAGAGTCATTGAAGTCAACGCTGCATAACATAAAATTGCATAATATATTTGTTTGTCAAGGTTATTAGAGCACAGTTTTAAATGGATCCGAGTCCTTGGAAAGGTGACTGTATTCTAGTTCCCTGGGCTGAGGTTTCCGATACATCCCAGTCCGATCTGGCGGCAGACAGCCAGCAGAAGGGGTGAGCTTTCCATTCTCCTCCTACCAGCTCCAGTGCTTGTCTGACCAGCTGGCGAGCTGGTTCCACTGGCTGTGCCAGCAGGCAGGGAGCTGCTCTCTCTCCCCTGAAAGGAGGAGGAAAAAAAAAAATAAAAAAATTTTTGTTGTCCTAGTCAGCTCAGGTTGTGAGGGGATGAGAGAGGGTCCTCCAGGCAGTGCATGGATGGTAAGAGGGTGGGTGGAGGGTATCGGGAAGTGTGTGGGGCATTGGGTGGGTGGGCTGTCTCAGCCCCATGTCCCACCTCAGAGTTGGAGTGCGCTGTTGGTGTTCCTCCCCGCTCCCACCAGGGATGCGGTCGGTGTGTGATGCAGCAACCATCAGAGACCCAGATTTCGGGGCAGGGCCACACTCTCTGAAAGTGTGCTGAAACTGTTTACGAAATGAGTACTTTGCAAATGATAAAGACTAAATAACACATTCTATACATTTGCATAATTTTAAATCACTTATCCTTCTGAGGGCTGTAGTCATTTGGCTCACGTTAAAGAACGCTTAACGGTGTAATCAAGCTCAAGCCGTCGGTTGCTGAGCCGAGTTAACACTGAAGATAGGAGGTGTGTTTTTTGGGGATACCATGCATGTCCCCTGTAATGTTCCTGGCACAGTGGAGCGGAGCCCTGAGGGCTTGGAGCACTGTGGAGGTTGGATGGGGGGAGGCACAGTCAGGGATGTGAAGGATTGTAATGTCTTTCAGAAAGACCCTGAGACCTGGAGCAATGGAAGTGGGATGTATCTCCATGCTGATAGTGTGCAGGGTCATGACCTGAGGAGGCATTAGGAGAAAGACACTTTTGCTCTGAGCTCGGTAGGATGTTGGGTGTTACCAGTTGGAAATACTGGAGAAACACGTCTTTGTGCAGTCACAGGGTGACAGTGAGCTGCAAGGATGGTGCTGGGAAGGATAGGATGAAGTGGGGTAACAGTAGGAGGTAGCTAACCTCAAGGATGGAGAGTCTTCTGAGAACAAACTCCAAGAACTTGCTTGGGTTGGGTGGTAAAATGAGCCCTGACAAGGAGGTCGTGTAATTCATTTTTTATCGTCAGGGAAATAAACTTCAGGGGTAGGGAAAAGCTGTTTAAGCTGCTGGATCAATGTTGGCATGAAAACAAATGGATAAAAGCTGTTCAGGAGTAAATGTTAGGCTGAAAATTAGAAGTTTTTTTAACTCTTGGAGGAACTCAGTTCTGCAGTAGTTGCCAGATATAGAGACTGAGGAAGAGCATTGTCAGTACTTTGGGGTCCATCGCTGTGGCTGGGGCTCTCTGATGTGGTGCTCGTGATGGAGGCATTGAGCTGGTGATCTGTAAAGGAAACACCTTTCCCATCTGCGTCTGTATGTGGTGGTAGGTTATCGTGACGGTGTTGTTGCCAAGTAGGAAAGGGGAAACTGTCCCTTGCTGTGACGGTTTTAAGAGTGTTCCGATGGGAATATGTGCTGAACCAAATTGCTTTTTCCCCAGGATGGAAAATTCGTGTTGTTAACTGAAGTTTTAACCTTTGCTTTACATTTAGTCTGTGAATGTCTCTGCTGTTATAGTCATTTATGACACTTATTTTTATGTTTGTTTTTTTTCCTAGGTATTTTTATGGCCTCTGTCACAGTGGTGTCTCAGTGTCTCCCAGGCATTTATGGATTTATTCTGAGAACGTTCCTGTGAGGTAGGGAAATGTTATCACCTTTGTTTTACAGACTGGGAACTGAGGCACAGGGAGATAAAGGTTGCAGGAGGAGTCTGTAGCATAGCCAGCAGTCAAACATTGATTGCCAGCAATTTCTTTATTGTCCTAATCCCTCAACCCAGCTACTTGTCTTTGGCTTTTTTCTTTTTTTTTTTTTTTTTTTCCTCTGCTCTGAGTTCTAGTAGAAACAATCTGCGAGGGGCTGGGAGGACCTGTGGAAAATATGATTAAGGTTACTGGTGTCCTTTTTTAACATTGTTACTTATGAGTTGAAATGCTTTGCTAAAAATATCAGCAGATCTGTTTATGTTAAATGATTAACGTGTTTAGACTTTCAACAGATAAGCTGTCATGCTTTTTTGAGTCAGTAACTCCTTTATCCTACCTGTCCAGGCTTGTGGCTGTTGAATTCTTACCCTGCCTAAGCTAATGCCATCCCAATCACCTAAAGCAATGCCAAGAATTTCATCATCCATGCAAAGATCTGTTTCATGTCAAGACAGGTGTAAAGTTTCTCAAGCACATTTATGTGTAATTACTGTTTAACTTTATTTTTCAAAGGTCTTTCCAAGCTAGCAAAAATGTTCAGCTTTGAGCTCCCAGATTCTCCCAGAAATTGGATTTCAGTGCCTGATTAGCGATGCTGATCCCTTTCAAAAGTATTGCAAAGTTCCTGACACGTGTGTGTGCACCGAATTATAATTTACATCATAAAATCAAATATCATGAATAACAGCTTGAAAAATGTCTTTTTTTTTTTCCCCTTCAAGTAACGAATTTTTAAGATAGGTCTCCCTTGAGCCAATCTTTCCCTTCAAGTTGGTATTTAAAGTGTGACTTTTACTACCAAGGAATTTTCTTAGAGCTACGGCAACATTACAAATTACAAAGACACCAGCAGGCTCTCACAATTAAATATTTTTATTGTATATTAAAATAAGTAACATAATTAAAATGATAACATTGCAAAGAAATACTTAATGCCATCTTTCTAATTTCACAATCTGTAAAATACACACATTGGATTACATTTATGCTCTTTATTAATGTATATTACATGTCTTTGTGTCCCCAAGAATGAAGCCCTAATGACTCATGAACTGTCTCAAAGTGTACTAAATAAGATTAAAGAGCTGACCAGTGACCTTAACAGTCAATTAGGCTATGCATTACTCAGCCCAGTATTTGTGGAGCACAGAAGGGAAGCGAAAACTCATTAGCTAAGATGCTGATGCTTGAAACAAACAAGATTTCTTTAAAACTAGGAGCTGGACTTGGCGCTTAAGTGGAGATCGAAGCCCTTACAGTAGGTATGTCTCTGTGTATGTGTGTTTGAAAGTACTGCTGGTGTGGTCCTGGGGAGTGGAGAAAAGCCTTCTAGGAAAGCTGGGGGAGAGCAAGAGCTTTTGGGCTCAGAGCCCTTTGGAGTAGATCCTGCCAGGCATGGATGGCACTGGGTTGGGCACTGGCAGGTCCTGGAGGAGATGGTGCTCAGGTGGTGAGATGTGCCAGCCAAGAGGTTATGCAGAGACAGCACAAATGGGGAGGGCTGATTTTTGGAAGCAGTGTGTTTCACAGAAACAGGAGGGCAGGGAAGAACATCTTGGCAGGGCATGCTGCATGCTTGGCTTTCCTCAGAGGGGAGCCCAGGGTTGGCACCATTGCGTTTGGATGCATGTGGGAGCCTGGGCAGAAAGGCTCTGGGCCGCTCTGCCCGCTGAAGAGTAGAGTTTGAAGACTGTCTCACTCCCACACCTTGGGAGAGGGGAGGTGAGGGGGTGCTCAGAGGTACAGCCAGGTCAGACCCCTTGTTCCCCACCAGCTCCCCACCCCTTGCAGACTCACCTGCCCCAGGGAGTCAGCATAAAACAGGGTGGCACGGGCAGTAGGGCTGAGCGCGTCCCCGCCGTGGGTTGACTCGGTGAGAGGCATAGACAAACCCAGACAGTGTCTGAATTGTGGGAGAGTGCCTGTCATCTTCAGGATGACATTTCTTAACTAATCGTCTGCATGCAGTTTTATGTTATCTTCGGAAGCATCTTTGGAAGCATCTTAAAACTGTCCTGGGCTGGAGTCAGCTGCCGCCCGGGAGGATGCTCCATGGTGGCAAAACTCAACCAAGAGCAGTGACACGGTTGCACAGGAGCTGATCTGGCAGCTTGGTCATGGTGCTCCTCAGCAAGAGAGCAGGCCTTGAGGGCTTCTCAGTTTTACAGTGCTTCCTTTCTGGTATGTGCAGTTATGTATGCTTTCAGCTGACCCTGAGAACTTCTTCTATCATTCTTAATGTAAGCTCAGGTTATAAGAAGTAACAGATGACAGACTCGGTCCGTGCAAAATGTGGCTGAAAGTATGGTTTGAGTGGCATGCAACAACATCTTTTCAAGTAAATCCATTGTTTTGAACACAAATTGGGCCCAATCTCCCTGATGTAGGTCACAGTTTATCTGTAGGGTTTTCTTTTAAAATAATTTCTTTAATAAAATAATCCATCTGATTGGGGAGGCGTAGGGGAACCTGAGAAAAAAAAGCATACTTTTCGCTGTTCAGATGAATGGGGAAGAAAGAAAAGGAAGCCTTTTCAATCATGTCAGGTTCAATCTAAAGCATCAAGGAATGATGTTACAGGAGAACCCCTGAAGATAAACTGTAACCTAGATTAGCAGAATACAGATTAAGTTTTCAGGAGTTTGGAGACTGCAGTGCATCCTGAAGCAGTCTTTTGACATTCATTTAAACTAAAATTGTTACATGGTTGCTCTTTCAGCGATATACAAAAATATATAATGTTTCCATATGAATGTTACAGTCCTGAAGTTAATAAATTTATTAAAGCGAAGACTGCTTGAAAAGATTAGAAAAACCTAAATTTGGTATTTTCCATTTGAACCGGCTACTGCTGGGGAAATGTGATTACATTTTGGAGGAGTTTTATACATGCAACATTACCACTGAAAGCTGGACACTGGAATCGCTGCTAAAACTGAGAATTCTGCATGATTAGTTTTCTTCATTCTGACTTACAGTATAAAACAGTTGTCATCGGGTCACACTGTCCTCTTCTAGTTCTTTAAATCTTTTTATTTTTTAATTTATTTCCATTTTGGAAAATGCATTGTGATACCATGTTCGAATTTAGGGGGTGTTTTCTGTAATAAAGATTATGTATTTCTACAAAATGTTGGTGAAAAGCTTATGAGATTCAAAGTGATTTGTTTGTGTGTTAATGCCACATTGGCTGGAACATATTAATTCTTAATGCAAAATGACGAGTTACCCGTTACGTTTCACAGTAATATGGTGAACAATATTTTCTGCCTGTGTTTAAATGGCAGCCCCAAAAGGGCATTGGCTGAATTTGTTGGCAAAGCTCAACTTTCTTTATGTATGGCTATATATGCTCTTTTGGACTTAAGAGTCTTTACGGGTCCTTTTATCTTACAAATGAGTGGAGTGCTTTAATATATTGGTGCCCAAAGGGCATGACCGCTGGCCATTTACCTGGTTCCACGCGTGTGGAGAGGGAAGGGTGGGGAAAGGGTGGGGAAAGCTCCAAATTTTCAGACTAGTAAAATTCGTCTCTGCTTTGAAGGTGCCTGCTTTAGCTCTCTACAGGGATATATGTTTTCGAAAGTGTATTTATGAGAAACAGTATCAGCAGAAGCTGGAGATGTTACAAGGTTTAACCATATTTGCAAAATTGAACATGAGCTTTAGCCCTCTGGTCTTTTTCATTTCCTTTTCTATTATGCAATCAGCATATTGGTAGGTGGCTTTTGTTTTGGCACTTTACCTATTTAATTAATTTAGCTCTCTGAGGGTTATGCAATAAAGGTGGAATCACCATAACTGGCGGCGTAACTCTGTCATCCCACGGAGTCAGCACTTGCTCGCGCGCTGGCGCAATGGGTTTGAGCAGCTGCCACGCCGTGTGTGTGTGTGTGTGTTTTCTAAACCCAGGACTAGTGCTGAACTCATTAAAAATACATGCTACATAAGTTAATGTGCATAAGGAGTTTTGGTACTGAGATTGCCTTTGAGGATACATTTAACTCTAATTAACTTGGTTTCGTTCTATCTACTATCACCATAGGCTTGGCTGAAACCAGCCAGTATTGGTTACCCTCCCGGTTTGAAGTAAAGCCTGGCGGGATGGTGGATTAAAAACCACAGGATTGTTACCCTGCTGGGGTTCCTGGTGCCCGTGCCGGCTGTGCCGGCTCCCGGGGCCGCCTTCTGCGGGAGCACCGGGGCTGTGCCGGGCACAAGCTTCAGCTGTGCCATTCCTGGAGGCAGAGCTGATTACCCTTCCTATCGTGTTCTCGGGCAAAACTCTGGATTTCTGAAATCCTCATTCCTAAAATAATGAGGTTTGCCGAGCTGTGATTGAACAGTCGTGTGGTACCGAACTCCTCTGACTAAAATAGAGTCTGAATTTTTCCACTAGCAAAATAAGGAACAGCAGCAGAGAAGCAGCTTTTCACTGATTTGGCTTTTCTCTCTGTTCATACCTTCCTTCTATTCATCATTATTAGCTCAAGGATAATTTCCAAGGATTCTTCTAATTATGATTTGTTTTTCAGGGGAGGCAGGCAACAAGACAGGGGTTACTGATGGTTGCATTTCTGCTAAAAACAAATGCCAGTATACATGGGCTGGAATTATTGGGTGGGTTTTTTTGGCCTGGCAGTGTTGGAAATCAAGCTTTGATATTATGTCCAGTAAAGCAGGTTTCACTGAAAGCTGATTATAGCATTTTGTGAGAGAAGGTTTTCAGTGTATCACTCTGGAAGAAAATACTCACAGATACATATTCAAGGGCAGACAGCTGTATTTTGTGCAAGTGGAAGAATGTATGGATTTGTTGCATTTTCATCACAACTAGGAAAAGAAAACAATTTTTTTTCCTTCTTTTTGACTAGGACGAGGGTTTTAGTCTTGCAAAAGGATTTTCTAGGTAGAAACATCGGGCAAAATGG